CTGCCGCCAGCAGCTGGGGCAGCTGGGTTAATTCAAGCTGGGAACTGAGCGGGTGATTTGGGTGCTAATTAAAATGACAGGAAGGAAACACCCAGCGTGTGCCCTGAGCCCGCCAGGCCTGCGCACTGCCGCCTCTCCCCCAGCCTGGCGCAGTGGGCTCGTTTCCATGGTGACCAAGCTGAGCCGCAGAGATCAAAGCAGGAGATGGGTTAGCTCCAAACCAGCCGAACCAGGGGTGGTGAAGCGATTCTGGAAAGAACCTGGAGCAGGGAGGCCCATGGGTGGCTTCTCCCTCCACTGCCTGTCCCTCCTGTCCTGGCTGCTGGACTCCCTGCCTCAGGCTGGAGCAGAGCCGATGTGGTAGGAGAAACCATTCTTATGGTGGGATTGGACCTCCTGATGCCACCCTGGCTTTCCATTGTCCTCCTCAGCTAATATTCATGGATTCTGGTTAGGGGCATGGATTCTAAAATCACAGATCTGGGTACCAGTATTCTTTTGCTGGGCAATTGCTGTGTGATCCTTCAAAAGTCATTTAACCTCTCTGATCCTTGATTCTATCACCTGAAAAATGGGGATAATATCAGTACTATTCCCTTGGGGTTCTGTGAAGAGTAAAGAAGGCAACGATTGGAAAATGATTAGCATAATTTCTCCTGTGTGGTCCTTGAACTCACTGTGTAGCCCAGGCTGGTCTTGAACTTGTGGTGATCTCTCACCTTAGCATCTCCTGGGATAGCAAGTATGTGCCTAAATAGCCCTAGCTCCAGAATTGGCCATCTAAGTAAGGCAAAATGGAGCAAAAGTGGGGTGTCACCAGTGCAGTAATAGACTTCCACAAAGTACAGGCAGCCTAGAGGGTGACCAGGCATGGGACAGGCTTGGGACAGGCTTGGGAAGATGATGCCTGAGTTGGGTTTTAAAGAATGACTAGGAGTTCTGGGGTTGGATATCACATACATTGCAGATGGAGAAAGTGGCCATGCAGAGGTACCAGGTGCTGACACATCCACTAGGTGGATATGGGGCACCTGGGTGCCAGTGAAAAACTCACCTTTCTTAGGTAATGGAACCAGGGAAGGGATTGTAAAATCTAACTTTTGCTATTTTTTTTCCCTTTACTATACAAGTAATACATGTTCACTGTAGAAATCTTGGAAACTTGGGAAAAAGCAGAAAAGTGCCAAAATGCTCTGTATCCCTGTCCTGCAGGGAAAGCCAGTGTTACACAATTTGATAGGAATCCCTTTCATCTACCCCTGTTTTGTGTTGTTTTGTTTTGTGACAGGGTCTTTCTGGGGAGCCCAGGCTGGCTTTGAACTCAAAGCGATCCTCCTGCCTCAGCCTCCCCAGTGCTGAGATTACAGGCGTGTGTCACCACCTGACTCCCTTTGTAACCCTCCCCCCACCAAATGAGAGCGAACTGTTCAGTGAGAGGTCCCAAATCAGATTAAGCTTCAGCAGAGAGGGAGATGGGTGGGCGGGGAGCAGCCAGCAGGGGGCGCTGCAGTGATCAAGTGCTGGTAGGGTGCGCGGAGAGGGGAGCGCCGACCCGCAGAGCCTTGGGACCCGGGGAAGACACTGCCCTCTCCGCAGCAGAGCCTCTAACGAGCGCAGCATGGGACAGGGGAGCTGGAGGCCTGGCCCGGCTCTTCATGTCTGTAACCTGGGGCTGCTCACTCTGCCTCGCTGCGGCTCTGTTTTCTCACTTTCTATGCTGTTAACACAAACTGCTTGAGGAGGAATAACTTTATTTATCTAATATTTTTAGTATTTTGAGAAGGTTTCACTGTATAGTTCAGGATGGCCTTGAACTCACAGTGATCCTCCTGCCTCAGCTTTCTGAGCATTGGGATTACAGGCGTGCGCCACCATATCCAGCTCTCAGACTGAGTTTAAGACTCCATGTGATACAAGCCATGGTCATCCGTACCTTCTGGAAGTTTCTCTTGCCTGTCCACTCTGTGGCCCCCACGGTTATACTGAGCCTGTGGACACGCATGCTCCTCTGGCAGCCCGGAACTCTGAGTCCTGATCCAGCTCCCCAGGGCCCTGGAGCGGGGCTCCGGAGACCCCTTCTATCAGGTGGGGGGTGAGGACCAGCAGCAGCAGAGCCAGCCTTGAAGCGGCCTCTTGTTTCCTGAGAAGACACTGTGCCGTTACTGCCATTTCTCACAGCTGCTAATGGGCCTACGGCAGCGCCCTAAATAAACCCGGCTGCCCCATTCACCCTTGCCCACAAACACCTCTCTTTCACCCTGGACCTGCTGCTGGGCCCCACCCGACCTCCAGGGCCGCTAGGGGTGTCCCCAGGCCGTGTCCCCAAGTGGCCATTCCCATGTTGTGGTGTCTGGAGTGGCCTCTCTCGCCCCTCATCTTCCATCTGCCCCTTTCCTCCCCCTGAACCTGTGGTCTCTCTTGCTGCCCTGATGGTTTGTGGTGTGCTGCTTCCTGTGTCTCCCTGGGGCCCTAGGCAGTGCCAGGAGGGAGGCACTGAGCTCCTGCAGCCAGCAGAAGCTGGCATCAGGTGCCACCACCCCAAAGCCGGGCATGGTGGCACACACCTGTAATCCCAGCACTCAGGAGGCTGAGGCAGGAGATCATTGCAAGTTCAAAACCAGCCTGGGCTACAAAGTGAGCTCAAGGCCAGCCTGAACTGCATAGCGAGACCCTGTCTCAAAGACCAAAAAAACAAAACAAAACAAAAAAAGGTGCCACCCCAGCGCCTCCTGTCCCTAGGTTGGCTGCTTCTATGCTTCTGGGAGTGAGGGGTTTGGGGTCCAGGGCCCAGCCTACAGCCATGGGGCACAGCGGGGACACAGAGCTTAGCCAGACCCGGGGGCAAGCTCACTCCCACCGTCTGCACTGGGGACACAAGCTGGGTCTTGGGGAGCCGCTGGTCTCTTAGAAGTCCTACCCGACCCTTGCTTTCCCCTGAATTCCTAATTGGAAATCCTCAGTCCTGACTCACAGAACCATGTTGTCCTGAGTCCCAAAGACTCCGTGGGCCTTGGCTGAGGGGAAGGACGCGCAGTCCCGCTTCACGCCCTCCACCCGCTCCACCCTCCCAAGCCACCCCAAGGGGTGAAGACCAGCCCCTCCTCGCTCGCTCCTTGTAACCCTAGCCTCAGCCCCCTGTCACTCCCGGCCTCTGTTTCCCACCACCCCTCACCCATGCCCCTCCTGGAAGAGAAGAGCTGGGGCTGACCTTGCCTCTTTCGGCCCCAAGCAATGGGACCCTTGAGCCTGCCAGCTCCAAAGCTGGCCTGGGGTCCCAGAGCGCTCAGCTCGTGCCCTGTGGCAAAACTGGGCCCATGGGGGCTCCAGGAAGCCCCTCCTGAACCTCTTCTGTCTGCTCCCTGGCCCGAGGCTGCTGGACACTGGCTGCTCAGACGTGATGTGGGGGCCTGTGGGGGCCGATGTGAGGGGCAGGGTGAGGACCCAGGGAGATGGCAGTGGGCGTGAGGGCGGCCCTCCTGGGGAGAGGCCTGCTGTTCTCTGCCCCTCCAACCATCTCTTGCTGCCACCTCGAAACTGAGGAAGAGGCAGGAAGGCTGCGCCCGCGGGCGGGCCTCGGCACCCGCTGTGGAAACTGGGGGCTGCTCACAGGCTGGGTTTTGTTGCTTTGGTTCTGATAAAAGCCATCTGGCGCTGGTGGGCTGCCTCACGCAGGCGCCCTAGTTCTCACACGCCGTGCACATGTGTGCGTGAGTACACATTCGCACGGAGAAGGACGTGCACACATGCGTCACACATGTGATGCGTGTCAGGCACACACCTGGACACAGTGCTGTGCGTCCACGAGACATTCGCCTGCCCGCTCTGGCCTTTTCTGGCCTTTGTCCCGAGGGAGGCCTTGTCCCTGCCAGCTTCCAGGCCAGGCTGCAGAGGCCCAGAGCCTTGGGTTTCCAAAGCCCTTGGGAGCTCCGCACTGTGCCCCTGCTCCCGGATGAGCCCTCGGGGCCTTCTTCCCAGGCCTGACAGCCAAGCGCCCGGCCACGCCCACCCTCACGCACACTGCAGTGTGGCCTCTGCCCCGTACCCTGCGTGTCTCCGGTGACGTGGGGCAGGACTCAGGATAAGGGGCAGCCATGCCTCTTCCCCAGCCCCTGGCGGCCGGATCCTTGACACTGCAGCCCCTGGACCACAGGAACCTGCCCTTGCCCGCCTGGCCCAGCTTTCACCATGATGGCCCGGGAGCCGCGTGCTGGTTTTCAGCAACTGTCTCCCCTGCCGCCCCCCGCGGCGGAAAGGGAGGAATCCAGAAGCGCTGGAGTTCGTGGCTGGGCTGTGGGCCAGGCCGGGTCCCGGGCCACAGGACGATGGAGCAGGGTGGGTCTCCCCATGCCTGAGGTCTCAGAGACTGTGATGCAGAGGAGGAGGGGCTCTGCGGGGCAGCGGAGACCTGGCTTCCCTGACGCAGGGCCGGGTCAGGCCCCTCCCATCGGGCCTCTCCGCACAGGGAGGGCTCTTCAGGTTCCTTTGATCGAGGACTTGAAGCTGGGCTGTGGTAACTGGGGAAGCATTGTCGTTCAGTCTGAGCATGGCAGGAAGGAAGGAACCTTAAGTGAGAAGCAGTTCCCCCTGCAGCTTGGGAGAGCGAGCCCTGTCCCACCTCACCCCCGGGGTGGCAGGTGGCGGGAGGAGGGGGCTGCCAAGGAAGGGGCCCTGGTAGAAGAGAGGGCGTGGCAATTCTGGGGCACTGCTAGGTTGCACGGCCCTTTGAGCTCTGCAGACATGCATCCTGGTGGTGGGGCAGAGCTGGCAGGCATATGTCACCCTGCAAAAGCCGTGAGCCGCACCCCGCTGCCCCCAGAGCCAGCCTGAAGCTCTCTGTGGTGACGATGCAGGAATATTGGCCTCCACGGCGGTCAAAGACCATCAGCACCCACCCTGAGGGGCCCTGGGACCTCATGGTCTGAGGGGCCCACACTGACATCCCGTTTCTGTCTCTGTCCTCTCTGCTCTGTGCTGCGCCTGCTGCCACGGCCCGTCTCCAGGAGGTGGAGGTGAGTACTGCCGGATCCCAGGGCCTGCGGCCCCTCTGGAGCCACACCCCCTCCCCGTCCCATCCATCAGCACCTGCACCCCAACTTCTTCCCTGCCAGCATCTGGCACAGGATGAGGAGAATAAGGCCCTTTCAGAAGAGGCTGGGATTCTGGATGGGAGTTGTTTAGGGGGACAGAGGTCATCCGGGCAGCCACTGGGATGGCGGCAGTGTGCATGTGGACACAGTGGCCTAGGCCTGTCCTCTCCAGCGTGGAGGCAGTGGAGCTGGCTAGGGATGCAGACGTTTGCCCCCGCCCCACCCTCTCTGTCTTCTTCTAGGATGACTACATCAAGATCTGGGAGGACAATCAGCAAGGAGACGAAGGTAACATGTCCTCCCCAGCCAGGGGCGGGGACAGACAACGGGGAGGAGTGAGACCAGTGGGCAAGACCAATGGCCTGGGGGCTCCTCAAGCAGCCAGATCCTGATGGGGCTGCCAAGGGCTGCTGGAGGGAGGGGCCTCCTAGCTCAGAAGCTCCCACGTGACCTGTGTCCTCACACTGTCCCTGCAGCCCTGGACACCACCAAGGACCCCTGCCAGAAGGTGAAGTGCAGCCGCCACAAGGTGTGCATCGCCCAGGGCTACCAGCGGGCCATGTGCATCAGCCGCAAGAAGCTGGAGCACAGGTGAGGCCCCAGGAGGCCTGCAGGGGTCAGCCCCAGGGCCATGTCCTGCTGACCTGTTCACTGCATTAGTGCTTATTGCTTCCAACCAGGTCACACAAAACTTAGTAGCTTGACACAACCGCTGTGTGTCATCTCCCACACTTTCTGAGGGCCAGAAGGCCAGGACTTGGATGGTTCTGGCCTGAGGTCTGTGATAAGGTTTGAGTCATGGTTCTGGGGCTGTGTATCTCAGGCTTGGCTGGGGCTGGAGGAGTCACTTCTGAGTCTCTCTCATAGCTGTTAGGTGGAGACCTCAGCTCTTAATCATTCATAGGGATGTTTGCCTGTCCTCAAAATGGACAATATGGAGGCTGGTTTTCCATAAAGGGAGTCATCAAGAGAGAGTACATTAGTCAGCTTTTCCATCTCTGAGACAAAGTGTTTGACTCCTGAAACTTAGAGGTTTATTTTGGTTTACAGTTTCCATGGGTTCAGTCCATGGTGGGCTGGCTCTAAGGCAGAAACAACATGGCAGAGGCAAAGCTGCTCATCACACTGTGGTCAGGGAGCAGAGAGTGAAGGGAGGAGCCAGAGACAAGAATACAGCCTTCCAGGTCATGCCCAGGGACCACCTCCAGCCATTCCCAATCTAACACTGCATTCAGCTATGAGCTCATCAATAGAGGAATCCACTGTTGAGTACAGCGCCCCATGATCCAGTCACCTTCCACACCCATGAGACTTTTTGGGGGCACTTGATACCTAAACCATAACAGAGAGCAAGGAGGAAGCCACTCCTCAGAAAACTATTCCGAAACACCAAGGAAAGTCACACCTCTTCTGTCAGCCTGGGTGTCCGTGTCTCAAGACAAGTAGGGTATTAGACCAGATGATTTGAGAGTTAAGGTTGTAGCTTCTGAGGCTTACAGAGGGGGAAGGGGTGAGGGATATTTGCGGAGGCCCCAGCTCCAGCCCAAGGTCAAGACCCTGCCTGGCTCCAAGACCCAGGAGCAGCTCCCATTTCCCTCCCCTGTCTCCTGGATCCAGTTGAGACTTCTATTCTTGGATGCCCACGGGGCTGGGCATGAAGAAAGCCTGGTGACAGGCCACTCTGGTAAGCCAGGCCTTCTGGGAAGTGGGTAGCTGTTTCTCTGTGTAACAACTCAGAATTGGATCCCCGTATCCTCCATTTTTCTAAGAATTTCCAAGAATTCAGGTCATTTTTCTTTTGGTGAACCCACTATGCAAATGTTAGCAAATAACTGATTGCAAAACAACACTAACCACCCTTGGTGGGCAGACAAAATCAGTCTGCAGGTCAGATATGGCCCATGACTTCCCACTTAGACTGATCCCCCATGTGAAGTTAGACTTTTACCTCTTGTAGTCAGAGCTGGCTTTGGTCCCAAAGGCCTCGCTGGACTCTGGAAAAGAGAAGGCTGGGGTGTGTGCCCTGCCCAGTTGGTTCCACCCTTATGAGCCAGAGTGGGTGGGTGGGAGTACAGAGGTGCCGGCCTGTCCGCTGGCCAGCCTCTTGTTGGGGCCGGACTCTTGGACCTTCTCTTGCCCTTTTCTCATTTTTATCTCCTTCTCTACATCTCCCAACCCTTTTTCCTGTAGGATCAAGCAGCCCACCCTGAAACTCCATGGGAACAAGGACTCCATCTGCAAACCCTGCCACATGGCCCAGCTGGCCTCGGTCTGCGGCTCTGATGGCCACACATACAGCTCAGTGGTGAGGAGCGGCCCCAGGTGGGGTGGGGTGGGGTGGGTGCACCTGGGGCCACAGGGAGCAGAGGGGACAGCTCAGCTGGGGCCTCCCCAGGGGTTCCCAGGACTGATGTGGACAGTCAGTGCATGCAGAGCAATCAAGCTGCAGGGCGTGAGAGGGACACCTGAGCCCTGGCCAGGGAGGCCTGACAGATGGAGCGAGACCGTGTCCTTGACCTTGGGCAGCTGAAAGGGGCCGGAAGAGACACATGGCCACTGGGTACTGCACGGGGATAAGTGAGGTGAGGGGCTCTGAGAGGTACCGAGCACGCTGGCAGGAAGAAGCACTGCTGACCAGATGCTGGGGTGAAGAAGCCGGTGTGTCCCCGGGTAGCTGGAGCACCCTGGCAGGAGGACATAATCCTTGCTGAGAAGACGGTGTGAGAAAGATCGGGGCAATCAGGGGAATCTCTTCCGGGATTTTTGTGAAGATTAAATGAGATAATATTTGTGAAAACATTTTACAAACTTCAGAGCACCATAGACATATAGGTGCTAATCATGAGTGCTGCTGTGAGTAACGAGAAAGTGGGGTTGCTGGGTTCTGGCAGGTGCCGACGGTTGCTAGGGTTGGGTCTCAGGGCTTGAGGGCCCTTTCGGGTGAAGAGTCAGCAGGCCAGCGTGGTGGCACTCACCTGTAATCTCTGTGCCGAGAGGCTGAGGTGGAAAGATGGCAAGTTTGAGCCCAATCTGAGTAACTCAGCTGTGCCGTCCCCAAAGGTGGGGAGGGCTGGGGATGTAGCTCGGTGCAAAGGCCCTGGGCTCAGTCCTCAGTACCACAAAATAAATAGGCAAGGAAATGAGCAGCTTGGTGACAAGGTCACAGGGTGGAGTTGCCAAGGGGGTGCGGACGCCCAAGGCAAGACATGGAAGAGAAAGAGTGGGCAAGGGGTCTGGGCAGAGGCGGCACCTAGGAGGCGGCGGAGGGTGGGGGAGATGTGAAGGAGGCAGCTGAGGAGGAGGACGGGGAGAGCGCATGGTGCACACCGGAGGACAAAGCCACCCCTGGGCAGGAAGCTGCAGTTCAAGGCCACCTTTCCTGTGGGCAGGTACAGGTTTTCAGTAGGTCTGGCTTCCGTTCTTTCCCCACGGCCCGTGTGTCACTGGGCCTCCTGTGCCTTGATGTTCTCTGCTGAGCACGAGAAGTAAGACCCTCCTGCGCGGGGCGGCTGGGAACAGTGGGAGCAGTGCTAGAAGGCGCACAATGCTGTAATGCTGAGGCGATGACCCGCGTCCCAGGAGCCCTCGCCCAGGAGAAACAAACAGGCAGGGAAAGATGCTGAGAGTGGGGCGCAGCCCGCAGCAGGTGAAGCTCGCAGTGCGTGTGTGTGTGTGTGTGTGTGTGTGTGTGAGAGAGAGAGAGAGAGAGAGAGAGAGAGAGAATGATGGTGGCTGCTGCTTATCAAGAGCCCCTGCAGGAGACTATGGGAAGACCAGGGAAGGAGGGACCAAGGGACAGTGAGCAGGAGGACAGGCTGTGGGAGCCAAAACAGGCTCAGGGAGGGCGGCAGGGCCAGGTGGGGTCCATAGCAGCCTTCACAGCAAGGACTGCTCCCTGGGCCCCCTTCCTGGGCCTGCTGCTGCTGGTACCCATGGTCCCCAGAGGGCAAGGAGGGCCCTTCCGGCTGTTCCTGGGGAGGGAAGGTGGGGCTGCAGGGTGGGAGGCGCAAGGCACCCCAGCTGCAGGGATGGGGATTGGGGATGGGGGATGGGGCGCCTCACCCCAGCCCACCTTTCTCCTGCAGTGTAAGCTGGAGCAGCAGGCCTGCCTCAGCAACAAGCAGTTGACAGTGAGATGCCAGGGCCCCTGCCCCTGCCCCACGGAGCAGGCTGCTGCCTCCACCACTGACGGCAAGTCAGGTAACAATCATGCCGGCTGGGGGGCCTCCCTGCAGGGCCCCAGCACCTCTTCGGGTGGTAGGGTGGTAACAGAGGTCAGCGGGGGCCGGGGAGTCCTGAAAGACCTGTGAGGTTCTGGGGCCCTGGTTGACAGCAGGCCTGGGCCTCAGAAGTCACATCTCTCCCCTGGCTTCAGGACACTGGGGTGATGGGAGGACCTTAGTGGCGGTGGGAGGAAGGTGGCAGAGGCCAGGAGAGGGAGCCCCTGGTTTCTGCCTTCCCTTCTCTGGCGTTATTGCAGGGGACCCTACAGGCAGGGTCCCCAACTGAAACCAGGCTGCAGCTTCACCCCACCAACTCACCTTCTGCACCCTTCTCTGTGTCACCCCCTGCAGACACCTGTACGGGCCAGGACCTGGCCGACCTGGGCGATCGGCTGCGGGACTGGTTCCAGCTCCTTCATGAGAACTCCAAGCAGAATGGCTCTGCCAGCAGCGCTGCCAGCCCGGCCAGAGGTACAGGAGGGAAGGCCGAGGAGACAGGCGTGCACGGGCTAGCACACCCTTGCTCCTTCCTGCCCGGGCCTAATCCCTGCTTGATAGATCCCCAAAACAGCTGAGCCCCCAAAGAATGAGTGGTCAGTGTTAACCAGTGCAAGAAGGATACAGCTAGCGAATGGGAAAAACTTCTTAACATGGGTGGAGGAGCGGGGCGTGGTGGTGCAATCCTGTGATCCTAGCACTCTAGGAGGCTGAGGCAGGAGGACGGCAAGCTCAAGCTGAGCCTGGGAAACTGAGCAACACTATCTCAAACAATAAAGAGCTGAGGATGAAGATCAGTGCAAAGGCCTGGATTTGCAGCCCAGTGGCAGAACGCTTGCCTAGTGTGGTCAAGGCTGTGTTTGACTCTTAGTGTCACACACACAAAAAGGAATTATTTATTCTGGGAGCTTTCAGAACAGGATTTGGGTGGTGCAGATGCAGAGCTGTGATAGAGTAGGGTGAGGGACCTTGGCTGTTCTTGAGCTTCTCATGGTTGGGCTCCAGGCTGCCTGGCCCCACCACGAGGGCCAGCGCTGAGGATGAAGACGGAGAGGAGGGATGGAGGGACGGGGTGGAGCCAGTCTGAATCCTGGTCTGCTCCCCAGGGCTGGACAAGAGCCTGGGGGCCAGCTGCAAGGACGCCATCGGCTGGATGTTCTCCAAGCTGGACACCAGTGCCGACCTCTTCCTAGACCAGACCGAGCTGGCCACCATCAACCTGGACAAGTATGAGGTCTGCATCCGCCCCTTCTTCAACTCCTGCGACACCTACAAGGACGGCCGCGTCTCCACCGCCGAGTGGTGCTTCTGCTTCTGGAGGGAGAGTAAGCGGCCTGGTCCCCGCGGCTCTGCCCCTGTGCTAGGCTGCTCCCCCCGGCCCCGTCCAGGCCCGAGCCTTCCCGGCTGCCCATCCCTGTGCCCTCACAAGGCTTCGTCTCTCAGAGCCCAGGGAGCCAACACTTGACTCCCTTTCTCAGTAGGCCCCAGGGGGATCTGGATTTTGTGGGTCCTGAAGCTTAAGCACTTTTGGATGCCTTTTAGGGCCCCTCAGAGGGTCAGGATGGGGGTCTTAGAGCTGAAGATGCATTCGCTTCTCAGTGATTCCACTTCCGGGCACCTCTTACATCTTTTTTTTTTCTCTTGCCTCTTTGGCCCCAGCAAGAAATTACATAGGTGATCCTTGGTCTTTTTTTTTTTTTGGTTTTTCTCCGTACCGGGAACCGAACTCATGACCTTGCGCTTGCCAGGCAGGCGCTTTTGCCGCTGAGCTAAATCCCCAGCCCCGATCCTTGGTCTTAACTCTGTGGAAACCTTTGTTTGCCTTACCTGTCCGGGGTCAGAACTGCACCTGTGCTAGGAGATTATCTAGGCCAAGAGGCAAATGTCGCTGATAGGGAAACTGAGATCCCAGGGGTCAAATGAACTTCCCGGCCAGGAGCTGGTCTGGGCAGTGGCCTGCGCCGGGCCTCCTGTGTGGAAGTAGTGGTGTCCGAGGCCAGAGTGCAAGGCCAGGGCTCCACCTTGTGCTAGTCTGTGGCCCTACAAGTCACCAAGTGTTCTGAGTTTGGCTTCTTCTGAATTGGGAGATGGCAGTACCTACCTCAGAGACTGGGGTGAGGATGAACGGAGAGTATCTGGGTGCAGAGCCCATGAAGTCCTCTCAAATGCAAGCATGGGGGCTGGTCTTGCACCCCCAGCTGCCAGCCTCCCTGCCAGGCACCGCCCCAGCCGCCCTGCGCCAGGCCTTGCAGGCTCCTTCTGAGCCTTCCACAGAGCAGCCTTCCTGCACAGGGCTGGGACTGTCCTCGCTGCAAGCCAGGCAAGTCCCAGGGTGGCAGGCAGGCATGCTGGAGCTTAGCCTCTGGTTGTTTTTGGCTGGGAGTTCTGTCTGACAGCTGGATAGTCTTATGCTCCCCGGGTCTCCACCCTGAGGTGGCTGCATACCCACCCCATCCCCTCTTCTGACTCCTGCTGCCTCATCCCAGGTACCCTGATGCCCTCAGAGAACCCTGGGCTTCTTGGGGCCCTGAGCCCATCCCACGGCTGGCCATGGTGGCCTCCCCTAATTAGAGCCAGAGTGTTTTTTTCCTGCTGAGCCCCTGCCCTGGTTTGGGGACTTCAGAGGGAGCAGTGTATCCCACTGCCACCTGGGGTGCCCCTGTAGGTCTTTCACCCCGCAGGGCCCCTGCTGGGCTCCCTAACCCTCGGGAGACTCCATCAGCACCTGGAACAGGCCCTTAGGCTGCCTCTCTCCCACAGAGCCCCCCTGCCTGGCCGAGCTGGAGCGCATCCAGATCCAGGAAGCTGTCAAGAAGAAGCCAGGTGAGGGGCGGGCTGTGTGGACAGAGGAGGAGCAGGGCAGCCCCCCTGAGCTCAGACGCTCCAGGGCCTGTGCCTCAGGCAGGCCCTGAGCCCAGAGGAAGCCCTGGTCTGGAGGAGAGGGAAACAGGCTTCTTGGTTTTGCTTCTTTTTGCTGCCATTTGGGATTGAACCTGGGACCTTTACAGTGTCATCCCTGGCCCTGTTCTATTTTTCATTTAGAGACAAGGTCTTCCTAAGTTATTAAGTTGCCTCAGCTTGGTCTTAAACTTGTAATCCTCCTGCCTCAGTCTCCCAGAGTGCTGGGATCACAGGTGTGCTCCCCCATGTTTCTTTCTGTTTAAATCTTGTAGTGGGCCAGGCTGTCCCCATTCTCTGCTTAGCAAGTGTGACTTAAGCATCTGTTTTATGACTCTTCACTCGGGGGCTGGAAGTTGGGATACAGAGGGGCCCTAGAACCTTCAGCTCCGTGGAAGTCAGCAAGCATGTGTGTGGAGCCCAAGTGGGCCCCACTGGGGAGATGTTCACAATGTCTGCCCCCCTAAACACCCTGGAGAGACAGCAGAGCAAATCTAGTCCAGGCCAGAGCCCGTGGGCAAGACAGATGGGGTCCCTGTCCTTGTGAGCCTTGGCACGGGCTAACTGGGGAAGTGCACAAGGAGATAGAAGCGCCAACTGTGACTTGCATGTGGGTGTGGAGGGAGAAGGCAGGTGACGTAAGTGAGCCCGAGGGGTCAGCCGAGGCCTCTGGGGAGCTGATGTTCCAGGGGAGACCTGAGGGAGGAGAAGGAGACAAGTGCCGAGTCAAGGGCAGGAAAAAGCTCAAAGTTCTGGGAAAACGGAAGAAAAGGACCCCTGTGACTGCAGCGTGATGGCTGAGGGGACAGAGATCGGGGAGGCAGGTCCCATAGGGCCTTGCAGCTCCTCCAAAGAAGACTGATGTCTGACCGGGCCCATAGGACCAGCACACTTGGCGTGCAGCATGGGAAGCACCCACAAGTTGTGTTTTCTATTATTTTTGTACCAGGAGTAGAACTCAGGGCCATGCACTTGCCAGGCATGTGCTTTTGCTACTGAGCTATATCCCCAGCCCCAAAAGTTGTGTTGATTGCAGGCCTGGTGGCCTTCAGGGCCTGTTGTGAGCCCCACCTTGGCCAGGATGCCCACGTCTGTTGCCTACTCCCTAAGCAGGCCCTTTGCCTCAGCCCCCCAACCTCAGACCTCATGTTAGCTGACTGTCTCTTCTGGCTAATAAGTGGTCAGAGCCCACCTCTCAGAAGATGTTTTGTGGGCAGGCAGAGGACCAGAACTTGGGGGTCCTGAGGGAAAGGGGTGGGTCCCTAAGGCAGCTTCGATCCACGGTGCTGGGGAGAAGCTCAAGCATTCCAGGCTGGGCCAGGCGGACCAGAGGGGCAGCAGAGACGTGGAAGGGGTGAGAGCAGAGGCTCCATCATGTGTCTGAGCAGGTGGCCCAGAAAAGCAGCACCATTTCGGGTCAGCATGGCTGGGAGAGATGATCCCTGAGCATCTGGGTTTGTTGAGGGGTCAGGACAGCGCTGGACAGGCTCTGGGGCCATGTGGTCCCTGTTCAAACCCAAGCTTTGAGGCTGCCACTGTCCCACCCAGGCATCTTCATCCCGAGTTGTGACGAGGATGGCTACTACCGAAAGATGCAGTGTGACCAGAGCAGCGGCGACTGCTGGTGTGTGGACCAGCTCGGCCTGGAGCTGACTGGCACCCGCACGCGTGGAAGCCCTGACTGTGGTAAGGCCTCGGAGCACCTGGGGGCCATGTGGGGCAGGCTGTGGGGGACAGGGTGGTGAGCAGGTCCCTTACCAGGCCATTCTTGGCTTGTCACCCTTACAGATGACATCGTGGGTTTCTCAGGGGACTTTGGGAGTGGTGTCGGCTGGGAGGATGAGGAGGAGAAGGAGACGGAAGAAGCAGGCGAGGAGGCGGAGGAGGAAGAGGGCGAGGCGGGTGAGGCCGACGACGGAGGCTACATCTGGTAGATGGTCCTGGGGGCTGTGGCAGGCCAGGGTGCCGTGGCCAGCAGAAACCTGGACAGCAGCGGGCAGCTTAGCGAATGGATCCGGAAGTTAGCCGGAGGCACCCTGGCTCCGGTGGTAGGATCTGAAGTGTGGGTGCGTGGCTCCGTGTTGCACATGTGGCTGGGACTAGTGAGTGTGTGTGTGTGTGTGTGTGTGTGTGTGTGTGTGTGGCATGCACTGACAAATGTGTCCACACCAGTCCTGGCAGAGTGAGTCACCCAAAGGCCCGATTAGCTACCTTGTCTTTGTTTTCTTTCCATTCCTCCTTGGTTTAAAAATGCATATTCTCACACCCACAGGTCAAAACCCAATGAAATAAGATGCCCCAGTCCTGCCCTACCCACCCCACCCACCTTACCCCAATCTCCTGGGGTCCCCACCAGCTGTGCCTCCTCCCGCCCCTGCCTGCCCTTCAGGGGCCCCAGCGGGGAGGGCAGGAGTCTTGCAGCTGTAGAGCTTCCCAAAGTCACATAGATTTGGTGTGAAGCCCTCACCGGCAGTGATAAGCCTTGTCCCTCTGCTGAGCACCCGCCCCAAGCACTGGAGAAAGTCCCTGAAGCCTGGCTGGAGTGACCAGAGAGGCAGGAGGAAGGAGCACCCTGCCAGACTGGCCAGGTCCTTCCCACTTCAGGGGTGGAGCAGTGGGGAGCAGGGGCAGCTCAGAGAGAGGGCAGGTTCCAGACAGTGTCTTAGGAGTGGCCATGGGACAGCCTCGAGCTCCAGGCCGGCTCCCCCTGCAGGTCTCCTGTGGGCTGTCTTGGAGCCTGGAGCTGGGGTAATGCAATGGAGCCCTGCCTGACTCTCCCGTGGAGAGTTTGTGAGGGGTGCCCTCCTGCTCCTCCCCAGGAGCTTGAGGATCAGGAGCAGCAGATGTGTACCCACTGCCTCCCTGACCCCCTAAATAAATGTTCCTTCCTGCCTGGGCCAATAGGCATCCGTGTCCCTGGGACCCTGTGAAGGAGGCACAGTTGGGAGGTGGGGTCTCCCTGCTGCCCGGGACTGTGATCCTCCCCTTCACTGCCGTGAGGAGCAACTCCATGGGCCATCCCAGCCCTTCTCCTCTGGCCCCTGGGGTTCCTGCTGTCCCCAAGTGTCCTGCAGGGCTACCCAAACTCTATTCTGAAGCCCTGCAGTGTGGGAACATCAGTGACAAAGCAGCCCCGAGGCCACGCCACACCGTCCCCCTCTGACCTGGTAGGAGGTCATCTTACCCACATGAGAAGTGTGGTAAGATGTGGCTTACCCTGTGGCTTTTCATCTGTGTTTTCTTCAATTTGTCCAGTTCTCCCTGCCAAAGCAAATTCTTTAACACCTTTGGTGAAGCATTTCTTACCTGGTCGTGGGCCTCTGGAGAGTGCAGTGTGCTTGTGTGTGTTTGAATGGGTACGCATGGGTGTGTATGGGTGTGCGTGCATGTGTGTGTGCGTGTGTGGACCTGGGGCCATCACGGTGGCCTGGGAGAGCTACAGGGGTAGATGCCCTGCATGGGGTCCGTGTAGCCTGGCTCTCCCAGCATCCACTGAGCCTGAGCGCTGTTGGACGTTGAGAAGGAGCCTCGCCCATTCACCCTCTCTCCACCCTGGAATCTGCATCTCCTGGGCCCTCTGGGGGAAATAACAAAATTCCACTTAGCCCCATAAAGTGCTTCTCATCCCGCAGCACAGTTCTGATTGTTGAGGTGTCGCGCTATTCCAGACCCCTGGCCCTGTTGTCCGCCCCTGCCCTTCCTCTGGTCCCCTGGTCAGTCACATCCGCCCTCTGCTCTCCAGAGGCAGCTGCTTCTCTGACTCAGAGCTACTTGAAGTTTCCTGCTTTCGCTAGGATGTCCCAGGGCGACTTCTGACACTGTCCTGAGGCAGCCGTGAAGGATACCCAGCCCCCTGGGGTGGGAGGGCCTCTTCCTTCTCCCACTGTCGCCCTCCTCTTCTGGGGGCTGTGCTCTCTGTCTCTGGGTCTTCTGGTTGTGCACGTTTCTCTGAACTTGTAAATATGTTTTAGGAAGAAAGCAAAAGGCATTGAACTAGCCCCCAGTGGGCCTGCAGGGGCCCGGTCTTGCCCTGTCTCTAGCTCCCACTGCTTTGCACCCCACCGAGGCAGCCCCCGCAAAGGCAGATGAAAGCAGCTGTTCCTAAGGCTGAAGGGTTCGGGTGACTTCTTGTTAGGCAAGCTTAAGTTTCTCACGGCAAGAATGCAGGCCCCCCACCCCCACCCCGTGGACTCATGCCCTTGACCCAGCTGCTGTCCCAGCCCCTGCCAGCCGCTCTACCCAGTGTGCTTGCCCCTTCCTGCCCTCCATTCCTGGGCGTGGGCAGCAGGGGCTGTGGAGCAGCACTGAAAAGAGTTCGACCAAACTGTACAAGAACCATGACTTGCCTGGCCCCAGGCCTCCTTGGTGCATGGATGCTGGAAAAATGGGGAAGGTTGGGAGTGGAGACAATTAATGTGCCTTGAGAGACCACTCAGAGGGTCTGAAGGTGATGGAGAAGGGGTGTGGTCGGGGAGCCCAGGAAGCAAGCTGCTCTAAGGAGAGGGAGACAGGGCGTCCTGACTGCCCCCTGCTGGCGGTGTGACCACACAAGGTGGTGGCCATGCTTCTATTTGCTCCAGTCTGCCTGATATGCTGTAGCACAGGCCACCCATTAACCCTTTTGAGAACTCTGTCTGCTTCCAGCTTCACCTCAGAGTGTGTGGGGTCCATTGGTACCAATGCCAGAACCCTCCATTTCACCAAAGCCTGAGCCCTCAGCTCCTCGGGGAGGACAAGTGGCCAGTCGTTGACACCCCAGGGTCACCGTGGGGTTGTGGGCTGGTGGGGGTCCCAGAGAAGGGACACTGGGGGAGCAAAAGGAGACTGGAGACAACCCAAGGAAGTCCCAAGCGGAGCCAACTGCTTTATACCCTGCAGCCTACTCAAACCGTGTGATGTGCAATAACTGAGCTTAGAGTTAAGAATTGTGTTCAAGTGCTTGGGTTCTGTCTGTAGATTTAAGTGCTGAAATTGTATCTCTCAGTAATTTTAGATGTCTTTTTAAAACAATCAAGAAACAAAGTGTTAGACCTGTGTGTGCATTGATGGGCACTCAAGCGTCCCTGGATCACCCCACACTGTCCTTCTTCTGCACCCCTTTCCCTCACACCCTCACCTCCCCTGCCCCGCACCTCCACTGGGGACCCCGCCTTGTGTCGTCTTTATCTGCCTATTAGTCAGCCTAAGGAAACAAGTACACTCCACACATGCATAAAGGAAATCAAATGTTATTTTTAAGAAAATGGAAAATAAAAACTTTATAAACCACCTGCTGGCAATGCTCTGATTATTCTTCCTCTTGATGTTTTCACAAAAACCACATCCACAAGTGACACCCTGTGGTCCCATCTGGCTTGTCATGTTCACTGTTACATAGGAGATTGCAGGCATGGCGGCCGCAGGGTGGGGGTGGATTTATCCAGGGAGGACTTGGAACGACTTTAAAATATTTTGATATTATTCCAAATTATACGCAAGCCATGTTGGTACATATACCAGTAAATACATCTCTATGTCATTCTTTCTTCAATGAGTTTGTTATGGACCTTCCCTCCATGTTATTACATGTATCTGAAGACTTGATTTCACAGGAATATAGTAGCCCACAATATGAATTTAGCCAGCTCCTTCCTAATTTCTTGATCTGAACGGTGCTGTGGTGAGCCTGGGGCCCACCGGGTTGTCTCCCAGACCAGACTGCCGGAGATAGAATGGTTGAAGGGAAGGGTGTTTTTTTTCTCTTTTTAATTGTAGTAGAATATGTGTAATAGAAAAGTCACCATTTAATGTATAACTCGGTGGCATTTAGTACATTTGCAGTGTGCATGTGCAGCAACCACCACCACAATCCAGTTCCAGAAATTTCACGCAGGATACAACTTTTTTTTAGAAGTGCTGGAGATCAAACTCAGGGCCTCCAGCATGCTAGGCAAAGTGGTCCACCACTGTGCTCCACCCCTGGCCGGGGGTAGGAGCTTTTAATTAATTAATTATGTATTTAGGAGTTTTTAAAAAGACTTTGCATCTCACCAAATTGCTTTCCTCCCCTCCCCTCCCCTTCCCTTTTCTTTTCTTTTTGTCTTTTTGAGACAGGCTCTTGCTATGCAGTTCAGGCTGGCCTTGAGCTCACTTTGTAGCCCAGGCTGGCCTCGAACTCGCAATGATCCTCCTGCTTCAGCCTCCCAAGTGCTGGGATTACAGGCGTGCACTACCATGCTGGCTGCAAATTGCTTTTCCAAAGGTTAGGCCATTACAGGCAATCCCTTCCCAGAGAATGGGAGAACTGTATCAAGCTCCTATGCTTACCACCGTTATGAATTCTGATTTTTAAAAAGCTTGTCCAGTTTGGCAGGAGAATAACTATGTGTTATTTTTGTTCCTTTGATTAATAGAACCAAAGGACTGTTATCACCCTCCTTTTACTTCTGCTCATAAGACTTCCTGCTATGGCTTGGACGAGCCCATGCCCCGCAAGGCCTGTGTGTTAAAGGCTTGGTCCCCAGCTGGCTATGCTATTGGGAGGCGGTCTGACCTTTAAAAGGCGGGGCCTAGCGAGGAGTTCCAGGTCATTGGGGGCGTGGCCTTTTTATGAATTTAGGGGTCTACTCTTTATGCTCTCTGCCTGTGCGCAGTTTGCTGCTCCTCAGTGCCTTAGTGGATGGATGTGCGGCTTTGCCACAGGCCCCGGAGCAACAAATGGCCACGGACTGAAAGCTCTGAAATCGTGAGTCAAACAAACTTTCCTTTCTATTTTATTTATTTTTGTTTTATTTTGAGACAGGCTTCTGCTCTAGCCCAGGCTGGCCTCGAACTCGGTCCTTCAGCCTCACGAGTGCTGGGATTACAGATGTGCGCTACCACGCTTAACTCTTTCCCTCCCACTGCCTACGTCTCACGTAGTTGTTACAGTGCCGGAAAGCTGACCGACATAGTACTAACCCCTGCTAGACGCTTCTTTCTTTTAGCCAATCCTTTTGCAGTGGAGGGGTCGGATATGACTCAGGACCTCCAAACTCTAACGCTAGGGCTTGGCGAGTCATTAGCCAGGCGAAGAGGCTAACCCAGCTCGTGGGCATCCTGTAACCTGTGGAAGGGCTTTTAAAACAGCAAAGCAAGCCCCGTGGACATGTCCTGTGATGCCCTGTGGCAGCCACAGCCAGCTTGGGTGTCCAGGACTGATGAGGGAGGGGCACCTTAGGAAGGGGTGCGCTACCCCGTGGGAGAGTTTGTTCTTCCCTGAGACCCATGCCACCAGCAAGGTCAGCCTGGGAGCCTCCTTGTCTTCCTGGAAGGAGGTGTGAGGAGGGTCGTAATATGCGCAGGAGTTATTCCTAGCTGCAGGTTGAAGGAGGAAGTGGGTAGGCCTGAGAACAGGAAATCCTTAGAAATGCTCTCACCAGCTGAGGAGCTGTGGAGTGTGAGGGTTTAAGGTTGAATCAGTGAGTTACTTTCCTCTTGTGTCAAGAGCTTTGACTAGCATACAAAGCCCTACGGTTACTGGGAAATAATAATACCAACAATTAAACCCTTACTGTGCTAAAGACCCAATGCCAAGGAGTCCCCTTACATCAGCCCAGAAGGTAGCACTGTTAGTAAAGCCCACTTTGAAGATGAGAAAACTGCCGAATGTGGTGGTGCACACCTATAATCCCAGCACTCTGGAAGCTGAGGCAGGAGGATTGTTGTGAGTTCGAGACCAGCCTGGGCTACAGAGTGAGCTCAAGGCCAGCCTGAACTGCATAGTGAGACCCTGTCTCAAAAAGACAAAAAAAAAAGAAAAGAAAAGAAAAGAAAAGAAAGAAAAAGAGAAGATGAGGAAACTGACTCTCAGAGAGGTTCAGGCTAGCCATGGGTACACTACTGGTAGGGAGAAGTATTCTGCTTCCCATCTACCACCTATCACAAAGTAGACTGCATCTGTGCCCATGGACTGGACCCTTCCTGTGGGCCTTGGGCCCTTGGAGGAGGAGGAGGGGAAGGGCCAGCTGCCCAATGTAGTGCTGGCTTCCTGGGCAAAAGGAGTTCATCCAAGCCCACCCATAGAAGGAATGAGGTAGTGGCTCAACCCTAACTGAACGTTGTGTTTTTGTCTTTTTGAGACAGGGTCTCGCTATGCAGTTCGGGCGGGCCTTGAGCTCAGTTTGTAGCCCAGGCTGGTCTCAAACTCAAAACAATCCTCCTGCCTCAGCTTCCCAAGTGCTGGGATTACAGGTGTGCGCCACCACGCCCGGCCCCCTAGCTGAACATTGGAAGCATTTGGGAGATTCCAGTCCCACCATCAGAGAGTCTGATTTTGTTGCTGTGGGTTGAGACCGAGTGAAGCTGAAGTGGCATCAGTGCCTGCAACCCGGGCTAGGCAAACAAGCAGGGAAGGTCCCACGGGTGGGGCAGAATGTGCCAGACACCGGGGCGGGACTGAGCCGGGAGGAGTGAGGACTGGGTAAGGCTGGAGGCCAGGCCAAGGGCAGGAAGGCTCCCGCAAGTCCCTGGTAGGGGGGCTTCAGCTCTAGCGCTTCATCCAACATCTTGTCGGTCACCAGCCCAGACCTTGGAGCCTTGCTGTGTAGATTTTTTTCCTTTTAGTGCCGCAGCTTGAACCCAGGACCTTCACGTTGAGCTAATCCACAGCCCTTTTTTATTTTTTATTTTGAGACAGGATCTTTTAAGTTGCCCAGGCTGGGCTTAAGCCTTGTATCCTCTGCCTCAGCCTCTCGGAGTGCATAGCATTTTCCGAGCAGCTTAAGGGTGAAGCAGCCTGCCGGGGGGGACCCGTGTGTCCCCATGGCAACACTCTGAATGAGTGTCCCTGAACTTGAGGGAAATTTTGGCTTTTGCCCTTGGCGGATCAACATCTGTTCAGACGATGGGGAACTGGAGGCCAGGTGGGGCCCTGGCTTCTAGAACAATCCATCCATTGTCACCAGATCCCAGCAACCTGGATTCCCCGGGTCCCTTGGGGAAGCAGAATGGTGCTGACTGCAGCAAAGGCGGGCTGTGGCCCTGTGGGAAGCCATCTGCGGGAACCCAGCTGTCCGGGCCCAGCCCTGCTCCTCAGCACCCTCCCATCCCTCCCTCACCTCAGGCCCGCCTCATACCAGGACCTCCTGGGGCCAGGGGCTCTATATGGACTTCTTTCAGTGAACAAGGGGGCCTGGAATAAGCCAGACAGGGAGCCTTCCCCCACCACCCGCAGAGCTCTGCCCATGCCTGCTCCACACACACCCTTCGCTGCTCTGAGTGGGGGTGTGTTTGTCCCTAAACGAGAACCCTAACTTCCTGTATACATACTTGCGGGGTTCAGTGTGAGGTTTCAGCAGATGCATACAGTGAGCAATGGTCGTATCAGGGTAATTGGTCTCTCTGTCACCTCACCTCAGACATTTGTCATCTCTTTCTGCTGGGAACATTCAGAATCCTCTCCAGCTTTTCAAAATTAGCTATTTTGAAAGATGTAACTTATTGCTTCCTGTCATGATGACCCGGCTGGGCAACAGAACATCAGGATTTAACTCCTTCTAGCTGGGTATGGTGGCCTACACCTGTAATCCCAGCATTCTGGGAGGCTGAGGCAGGAGGACTGCAAGTTTGAGCCCAGGCTAGGCAACTTAGTGATTTAATGAGACCCAGTCCGAAAATAAAAAATAAAAACAGGGCAAAGATGTAGCTCTGTGGATAAGTGCTGGGTTCAGTCCTCAGTACTGGGGGGAAGGGGGTTCCTTCATCAGCTGCACCCATTAGCCACCCCCCTCTCTGTCCTCTTCCACAGCCTTTGGGAACCACTATTTTACTCTCTTGCCATGAGATCAGCTTTTCTGGCTTCTGCATAGAAGTAAGGTTGCACAGTATTTGTCGTCCCGTGCCTACCTTCTCTTCTGCCACATAATGTCCTCCAGCCTATCCATGTTGCCACGAATGCCAGGGTTGCATTCTTTTTTGTGGCAGACAGTATTGGTTGTGCGTATCCACAACCCTGTCTATCCATCTGTCTGTCTGAGGACGCCTAGGCTGATGCCACGTCTTAGTGACCGTGAACAGTGCCACAGGAAACACTCAGGACAGGTGTCTGTCCTGCATGCTATCTCTCCTCTGGATACGTACCCTGCAGTGAAGTTGCTGGATCATAGGACAGTTGTGGTTTTTGAGGAACCTCCATACTGCTCTCCATAATCTACATTCCAGCCAGTAGTGTATATGAGAATTCCCCTTTCTGGGAACCCTCTCCAGCATTT